GAGAGAGGCACTGAGGCTAGTGGTGTTGTGAAGAGAGGCACTGAGGCTAGTGGTGTTGTGGAGAGAGGCACTGAGGCTAGTGGTGTTGTGGAGAGAGGCACTGAGACTAGTGGTGTTGTGGAGACCGGCTTGGAGACTATGGTGAGGCCTAATAGAAAGCAGTTGTTGTTGGGGATTCCATCATAAGAGGTGTGGAGATGGACAATGGTGGTCTTGTGAGGTGTCTTCCTGGAGCTACTGCTCACAGAGACAGGAGACGTATCTGTAATATTGTTAAGCAAGCAAAGCAGGAAGGGGAATTGGATGTACTTGTCCATCTAGGGACAAATGACTTGGCTTGCAATGAGGTTTCAGAGGTTAAGAAAGTTTTTAGTGTTTTTGCCAATGATATACGGCAGGTTGCTTCCACACTGTCATTCTCTGAAGTACTGCCTGTGCATAACACTCAGAACGACAGGCGGATGCATATTAGGGACTTTAATTTGTGGCTTGGTGAATGGTGTCGGGAGCAAGGATTTGGCTTTATTTCTCATGGTAGCTCTGTTTGGAATGGAGATAAGCTGTATAAAAAAGATGGTTTGCATCTTTCTCAAAAGGGAACAAATGTTCTCAGTGAGCAGTTCAGAGGTTTTGCTAGGATGTATTTAAACTAGGAGGGGGGGCAAAAGGGTGATAAAACATCAATCCAATTGTCCCCCAAAAGAAGGACAGAAGGTGCCTGTAGCAAGTGTGTTAAAAAAATGATAAGCTTAGAGTCATGTCTACAAATGCTCGCAGTTTAGGGAATAAGATCCATGAACTTGTGGCAATAATGGCAACTGATAGCGTAGATTTAGTTGCTGTTACTGAGACATGGTACAATGAGAAAAATGACTGGGACATAGCAATACCAGGGTACTCTTTATATAGGAAAGATAGGGAAGGCAAGAAAAGGGGAGGGGTGGCCTTGTATGTGAAGGATAGCATAAAATCTAGCCTAATAAAAGTTAGTGAGGCAAACATAGAGTCCGCTTGGGCTACGTTAGAATTTGGTAATCACACAGTAACTCGTGTAGGTGTGATTTATAGGCCCCCAGGACAAATTGAAGAGTTAGATAATCTACTAGTTGAGGAAATAGCTAAAATGACAATGAAGGGGAAGTTATCATCATGGGTGACTTTAATCTTCCTGATGTAAATTGGAAAACAAAATTAGCTACTTGTGCCAGGAGCACACATATTCTAAACTCCCTACTGGGATTGTCTCTAAAACAAGTTGTTGAGGAGCCAACCCGTAAAGAGGCCATACTAGATTTAGTGTTAACAAATGGAGATTTGGTATCAGATGTTACTGTAGGTGAAAGTTTAGGATCCAGTGATCATCAGTCAGTGTGGTTTAATATAAGAACAGTGACTGAGCCACACCACACAAAAACAAAAGTTTTAGACTTTAGAAAAACAGACTTTTCTAAAATTAGAATATGGGTAGAGGAGTCATTATCAGACTGGAGCAATTTAAATGGAGTCCAAGAAAAAATGGGATTATTTAAAAGTTGCACTATTGAAGGCAACAGAAAATTGCATTAGGCTTGTCAGTAAAAGCAAAAAATTCAAGAAACCACTGTGGTACTCCGCAGATGTGGCCAAAATAGTTAAAAACAAAAAGTTAGCATTTAGTAATTATAAAAAAAACCCAGAGTGAGGAAGACAAAATTATCTATAAGATTAGGCAGAAAGAGGCTAAGCAAGTTATAAGAGCTTCCAAATCACACACAGAAGAGAAAATAGCAGTCAGTAAAAAAGGGGGATAAAACATTTTTTAGATACATAAATGAGAAAAGAAAAGTAAAACAAGGATTAGTTAGATTAAAAACAAAAGAAGGAAGGTATGTAGAAGAGGATAAAGGTCAGGTTGACTGCCTCAATGAATATTTTTGTTCTGTATTTACAGAAGAAAATGAAGGAAAGGGACCTCAGTTGAGAAAAAAGATAAATGAGTCATTTATTACACGTGAGTTTACAGAGGAAGAGGTTCTATTTCAACTGTCAAAAGTAAAGACAAATAAGTCAATGGGACCTGACGGAATACACCCAAAGCTATTAAAAGAGCTTAGTGGTACTAGCAAAACCATTAACAGATTTATTTAACCAATCATTGTTAACAGGAGTAGTCCCAGAAGATTGGAAGTTAGCGAATGTTGTGCCCATTTACAAGAAAGGTAATAGGGAGGAGTCGGGCAACTATAGGCCAGTAAGCCTTACTTCAGTAGTAGGGAAAGTGATTGAAACCATGTTAAAGGATAGGATTAATGAACATCTAAAACACATGGATTTCAAGATCAGAGACAACATGGGTTTACTTCAGGGAGATCATGCCAAACTAATCTTATTGATTTTTTTGATTGGGTAACTAAAATTATAGATCAGGGTGGTGCAGTAGACATTGCTTACCTAGATTTCAGTAAGGCTTTGACACTGTTGCACATAGAAGGCTTATCAATAAACTGCAATCTTTAAGTTTGGATTCCAATATTGTTGAATGGGTAAGGCAGTGGCTGAGTGACAGGCAACAGAGGGTTGTAGTTAATGGAATATATTCAAAGCTTGGGCTTGTCACCAGTGGGGTACCCCAGGGATCTGTACTTGGACCCATTCTCTTTAATATTTTTATTAGTGATATTGCAGAAGGTCTTGATGGTAAGGTATGTCTTTTTGCTGATGATACTAAGATATGTAACAGGGTTGATGTTCCAGGAGGGATAAGCCAAATGACAAATGGTAAACTAGAAAAATGGTCAGAATTGGGGCAACTGACATTTAATGTGGATAAGTGCAAGATAATGCATCTTGGACGTAAAAACCCAAGGGCAGAGTACAGAATATTTGATAGAGTCCTAACCTCAACATATGAGGAAAGGGATTTAGGGGTGATTATTTCTGATGACTTAAAGGTAGGCAGACAATGTAATAGAGCAGCAGGAAATACTAGCAGAATGCTTGGTTGTATAGGAGAGGTATTAGCAGTAGAAAGAGGGAAGTGCTCATGCCATTGTACAGAACACTGGTGAGACCTCACTTGGAGTATTGTACAGTACTGGAGACCGTATCTTCAGAAGGATATTGATACCTTAGAGAGGGTTCAGAGAAGGGCTACTAAACTGGTTCATGGATTGCGGGATAAAACTTACCAGGAAAGGTTAAAGGATCTTAACATGTATAGCTTGGAGGAAAGACGAGACAGGGGGGATATGATAGAAACATTTAAATATATATAAAGGGAATCAACACAGTAAAGGAGGAGACTATATTTAAAAGAAGAAGAACTACCACAACAAGAGGACATAGTCTTAAATTAGAGGGACAAAGGTTTAAAAATATCAGGAAGTATTACTTTACTGAGAGGGTAGTGGATGCATGGAATAGCCTTCCAGCTGAAGTGGTAGAGGTTAACACAGTAAAGGAGTTTAGCATGCGTGGGATAGGCATAAGGCTATCCTAACTATAAGATAAGACTAGGGACTAATGAAAGTATTTAGAAAATTGGGCAGACTAGATGGGCCGAATGGTTCTTATCTGCCGTCACATTCTATGTTTCTATGTTTCTATGGAGTGAGACCAGCAGGGAAGATCTCAGGATCTCCCATGTTGGCTCATGCAAATCCGGCGCTTTCCGAGCCCTGGCTCTGCTCTCAGCCTCCCTCCCCACTGCAGCATGGAGGGAGGGAAAAGAGGACCCGGGGAGCAATACAGCAGCTCCGCCGTGCTCCTCTCGCGAGTTCTGAGCGTTGCCGTGGCAACGCTCAGATCTCGCGAGAGTGAACTCTAGCCCCACAGTGGCTAGATTGCACACTCCACTGGACCACCAGGGAAAGCAGCAGGAACAAGAATCCCCCCCTCCCTATATAAGGTAAGAAGGGAGGGGGCAGTGGCGGATCCAGAGCCTGATCTCGGGAGGGGCACTTGTAGATTATTTAAATAAATAATCCAGGCACAATAACCACTACAGCTCAGTGTAGTAGTTATGGTGTCAGTAGTGCCAGGATTCCACCCCAGAGTAAGTAGTCATACCGTTTAAGAACAGTTTGACAACTTACCTGGGGGTGTGTTAAGGGTAAAGTGTGTGAGTGCGGCAGTGTATGTCAGGGACAGTGTTTGTGGGGCAGTGTGTGTATGGGGACAGTGTTTGTGGGGCAGTGTGTGTATGGGTGTGCAGTTTGTGTATGGGGACAGTGTTTGTGGGGCATTGTGTGTATGGGGACAGTGTGGGTGTGCAGTGTGTGTATGGGGACAGTGTATGGGGAGCAGTGTGTGTATGGGGGGCAATGTGCGTATGGGGACAGTGTTTGTGGGGCAGTGTGTGTATGGGGGCCTTGGTGTGTGTATGGGGGCAGTGTGTGTATGGGGGCTGCCAGTGTGTGTATAGGGACTGTGTGGGGCAGTGTGTGTATGGGGGGCAGTGTGTGTGTATGGGGACAGTGTTTGGAGGGCAGTGTGTGTGTATGGGGACAGTGTGTGTATGGGGACAGTGTTTGTGGGGCAGTGTGTGTATGGGGGCAGTGTGTGTATGGGGACAGTGTTTGTGTGGGCAGTGTGTGTGTATGGGGGCAGTGTGTGTGTATGGGGGACAGTGTTTGTGGGGCAGTGTGTGTGTATGGAGGGACAGTGTTTGTGGGGCAGTGTGTGTATGGGGGACAGGTTTGTGGGGCAGTGTGTGTGTAATGGGGCTGACAGTGTGTGTGTGTAATGGGGCAGTGTGTGTAATGGGGGTGCAGTGTGTGTAATGGGGGGCACTGTGTGTGTAATGGGGGGGCACTGTGTGTAATGGGGGTGCAGTGTGTGTAATGGGGGTGCAGTGTGTGTAATGGGGGGCAGTGTGTGTAATGGGGGCAGTGTGTGTATGGGGGGGGAAGGAGGCTTTTAAATAATAATTTTTTTTTATTTTATAAAATAAATATTCTATGTCCCCCCTCCCTTCTTACCTTTATTTAGGAGGAGGGGGGACATACGATCCCTGGTGGTCCCAGTGGTGATTCATTGGTGGTCCCAGTGGTGGTGAGGTGAACTCTAGCCCACGCTCCTGGGCTAGAGTTCACTCTCGCGAGATTTGGAGCGTTGCCGTGGTAATCGCGGCAACGCTCCAAATCTCACGAGAGGAGGACCCGGAGGAGCTGCAGACTGAGCTCCCGGGTCCTCTCTCTCACTCCCTCCCTCCCGTGCCGGCTGTCAGCACAGTGCCTGCGGACCGAGGAGGGAGAGCTCTGATCTTCCTCCCCGGTCCGCAGGCACATTGCAGGGCTGGCACTTGGGGAATGCCAGCCCTGCGTTAGCCGGCAGGGGGGAATCTCGGGGGGGGGCAATTGCCCCGTTGCCCCCCCCCCGGATCCGCCAATGGGAGGGGGGATATTAACTGATCTGCCCCCACCTCCACAATCACCTACACACATACAGCACACACAGACACACAGCACACACACACACACACAGCACCCTCTCACACACAGCACAGAAACAGCACATTAACAGGACCCTAACAAACACAAACACCCTCACACACACATCACCCTAACAGCACCTTTACACACACACACACAACACCCTCAAACCACCCTCATGCAGCGCGCACACACACAGCAGTGTATTTATGTGTGTATATATACACACATACATATACATGTGGCGTGTTTTTGCTTTAGGGTGCACACTAGAGCCCATATGTACTCCTCTCCCTCCCTGTAATGCAAGTAATAAATTATCCTCCAGTCCCAGTCAGCCAACCTCCCAACCCAGTGTTAACCTCTCCCGTCAACCAACCTCACTATCCAGTGTTAGCTTCTCCCTGTCAGTAACCTCACTAACCAGTGTTAACCCTTTCCCCTCTAGCCCCTATTAATCAACCTCCCTAGACAGACAGATAGACAGACATAGATATATAGAGAGAGATAACACAAAACTCAGTAGGTATTTATGAGTTTGTCTCTTTATATTTATTTATAATAAACACATGACACTATATGTGGTGAGGAAATGTTTGTGTGTATGTGAAGTGGTTTGTAAGTTCTGGTGTCTGAATGCTGAGGATTCCGAGGAGGCTTGGGCAGGCATTGTGGGCATGTGTTGAGCTGAATGAAGCTCAGGCACGTCCAGTAAGGCGTGTTATTACTGATTCTCATAGAGAATCACTGGAGCATGGCCATTGGTGGGCTGTCTGGATGAAATACAGGAAGCAGGGAAGAACCAAAGGGGGATATGACATGAAATCAGAGGAGCAGAAAATCTGATCAAAATAAAGATTAAAACAGATATTTCTAAAGCTGCTTTTTACACTATTTGGGAAAAAACAAGCATTTAGTGACAGTAGGTTTACTGTTGGTGGGGGGGAGGGATATGCTTTTTTTTTACCTATACAGTTCCTTTAAAGGGCCACACCAGGCACCCAGACCACTTCTGCCCATTGGAGTGGTCTGGGTGCCAACTCCTACTACCCTTAACCCTGCAACTGTAAATATTGCAGTTTTTATAAACTGCAATATTTACATTGCAGGGTTAACTCCTCCTCTAATGGCTGTCTACTAGACAGCCACTAGAGGGCACTTCCTGGTTTATAGCACAGATTTTTTGTGCTATAGCGTCGCTGGACGTCCTCACGCTATATGAGGACCTCCAGCGTTGCTGAAATCCCCATAGGAAAGCATCTTTCAATGCTTTCCTATGGGGAAGTCAAATGTGCGTGCGCGGCATTGCCACGCATGCGCATTAGGTCTCCCACGTCGCGGGCTGCGCAGGCGCAATAGGTCTCCCCCGCCGGATGAGGAGCGTGGACGGGGGAGTAGCGTGGGCGGATCCTGAACCAGCGCAGAGGGACATCGGCGCTGGATAAAGGTAAGTCACTGGTCACAAGGTAAGCAACCTGGGATGATGGGTGGGAGGAAGAGGGGACCTGCAGTGTCAGGAAAACAGATTCTTTTCCTGGCACTGAAGTGTCCCTTTAAGCTAAAGTTGTTTTGGTGACTATAGTGTCCATGGAAGGTGAGTGGATCGTCATTTGCCCATTCACTGTCTCCTTCCACTTTTATTTCTAAATCTTTGTTTTCCCTCCGGCAGCACACCCAGTCAGTGGCGTACTAAGGGGGGGGCGGTCCGCCCCGGGTGCCAGCCGGGTGGGGGGTGCCAGCCGGGTGGGGGGTGCCATGACCAGCCCCCCCCCCCATGCTGCAGCCGCCCGAGTGCTCTGTAGAGAGCCTCAGGCGGCTGCAGCTTTGCCCGGGCGGTGCGTCCATGAGGGCGGACCGCACCGCCCGGGCGCAGCCTGAGAATGGAGGCTGACAGGAGGGAAAGCGCTCAGCGCTCCCTCCTGTCAGCTTCCTCCTTTGCTGTAGCGTGGCCGAGCCCTGCAGCATTGATAGTCCGCGGGTACAGAGAGCAGCTGTCTCCTGTACCCGGCCGGACTAACAGGAAATGCACACTCAGTGTGTACTGAGTGTGCTTCCTGTTAGTCCGGCCGGGTTCAGCTGCTGGGAAAAGGTAGTGGGAGGGGGGTGAGAAAGGAGAGGGAGGGGTGAGAAAAAGGAGAGGGTTTGAAAGAGGAGGGGGGTGAAAAGGAGAAAGGGAAGTAAGAGAGGGGGTGAAAAAGGAGAGGGGGGGTGAAAAGGAGAGGGGGTGAAAGAGGAGAAAGGGGGTGAAAGAGGAGAGGGGTGAAAAGGAGAAAGGGGGGGTGAGAAAGGAGGGAGGGTGAGAAAGGAGAGGTGGGGTGAGAAAGGAGGGAGGGTGAGATGAGAGAAAGAGAAAGGAGAGGGGGGGTGAGAGAGAAATTAGGAGGGAGAGATATTAGGAGGGGGGAAAGAGAAATTAGGGGGGGAGAGAAATTGAAATTAGGAGTGGGGGAGAGAAATTGAAATTAGGAGGGGGAAGAGAAATTAGGGGGGGAGAGAAATTAGGAGGGGGGTGAGCAAGAGAAATTGGGAGGAGGAGAAGGAAATTGGAGCGGGAGGAGAGATTGACATTCATCACATACACACAATGCACCCCTTGCACACAGAAAAACACACAATGCATTACACACACAGACACACATACACAAGCAATGCAACCGTTACACACAATGCATCCCTTACACACACAGAAACACACAATGCATTCATTACACACACTCAATGCACCCCTTACACACATTCAATGCATCCCATACATACACAGAAACACACCTTGCAGCCCTTACACATACAAACACAATTTCACACAATGCATTCCTTACACACATATCAGGACATCCCCTACACACTCCACCCCCTGTGAACAAACTCATTGGTGGAACATGAAGGTGGACCCTGGGACCCAGACCTTGAGCTGTGTAAAGGACCCCCAAAAAATGGAGCTGCTTCCCGTTCTCCCAGAACATTGATTTTTGTGACCACAGTTACAAACTGCCTCCAGAGAGCCTGTTCTGCACCACACCAGTGGAGCCAGACTGCAGCTAGAGCCCATCATCATCCTCATCTGGTTGTAAGTAGGCAATCTAGTATATTATTCGTGGCACTAAGCTCTAATTTACTTCACATTAAAGAAACACTATAGTCCCCAGAACCACTTCAGCTTAATGTAGTGGTTCTGGTGTCTATAGCCTGTCCTTGCAGGCCTTTTAATGTAAACACGGCGGCACTGCAGCACTGGCGTTAGTTAACATGGCAAATCATATGGGTGGGGCATTGTGATGTCACATGGGGGCGGCAAACTTTACTTTTGCCTAGGGCGGCAAAAATCCTTGCACCGGCCCTGGCTGGAGGGGGCTGTGTGAGCTGTGGCCGCACAGTGTCCCATGGTAGTTAGGGTGCCGTGCGGCCAGTACAGATCACACAAGCAAACAGCTGATAAACTGGCCGCAAGGAGAAAATGTGTATGTGTGACTGTCTGCCTGTGACTGTATGTGACTGTCTGCCTGTAACTGAGTGTGTGACTGTGTCTGTAACTGAGTGTGTGACTGTCTGCCTGTAAATGTGTGTGTGTGGGGCAACAGGGATTTTGTAGAAGGGGGCGGGGGTTTTGTATTGGGACAGGAGTCTTTATAAGGGGGGATAAGCAGGGGATTTGTGGAAGGGGGTTGCGGGGGTTTTGTAGACGAGGCAGTACAGGATTTGTAGAAGGGACAGGACAGAGGTTTTGTAGGAGGGGCAGGACAGGACAAGGGTTTTGTAGGAGGGGCTGACAGCGGTTTTGCAAAGTTTACAAATTGTAAAAAAAAAAAAAAAGAAAACCTTTAAAAATTTTACAGGTGTTTTTTGGGGAGGGGGGTGCCAAGCACAGGATCCGCCCCGGGTGCCAAATGCTCTAGGTACGCCCCTGCACCCAGTTAATTGTTAGGGGACTGCATTTGCACTATGGATGTTCACTGCATCTTAGGACTGAAGACGGGCAAATGCTTTTTTCCCCTGGGTCTGAAACAGGTGAGTGGGCTTTCAATTGCCCACTAACTCTTCCAATCTAATTTCATTTAAATCTTTGATTTTTTTTTTCCTTTTGTTTTAGTCTGAAATCAAAAGTGGTTGTTTATGGCTCCTGTTTGCGGTGGGGCAATGCTTGCAACCTTCCCCTAGCACAGCCAGTTGAGCACTTGCACTCTGCAAGTATGCTCCTCATGCCAAAGGTTTTGCCATGGGGCTGACACAGGTGAGTGGGCCTTTAATCTCCATTTCCAATTAAAATATTTCTTTATTTTTATTTTACCTCTTAATTTACAATTGTCCTGCAAACAAAGTTGTTGCTTTTCCCTTCTGACTGCCTCACTGTTGTGGCAACACCTGCTACATTCTACCAGGGCAGCCAGATAAACACTTTGTTTCTAAATCTTAATTTCTTTATTTTTTCTATTTCTTAAAAGCACACACACACACAAAAAAAGTAACATATGTGTACCACCACAATATTATTATTGTTATGTTATTTATATAGCACCATCAAATTCTGCAGCGCTTTACAATGGGTGGACGAACAGGCATGTAGTTGTAACCAGACAAGTTGGACACACAGGAACAATACCATCCATTCCTAACCATATTATACACATCACTAGATAATCAGTAAGTGTATGAATATCACTACCCAGAGTCCAAAGTCCACAACATCACATACTCTCTGACCGATACAAACACCAGAAGAGGAATATGAAGACTGATGGAGAAAGAGTACAACAGGGGAAGAGGAGAACAATCAACCAGAACTGAGTGGTCAACCATCATTGGACTACAACAGACCGATTCTGCTGCTGGACAATAAAGTGTACGTATTTCTGAATAGTTGGTGTATGGTCCTTTTTTATTTTTAAGTCCTGGCACTATAACTACTACAGTGTGCAGTCGTGGTAGTTAAACCATTTGCTAACGGTTTACACAAGGTACAGAATGGCACAAGTCATTTTCTCTTATGTGTGCAGTATGAGGAGTACACTAGAAGAAGACCTGGTGGTAGGTAATTATCGTGCTGAGAAGAACTTCTGATCTCTTAGCTAATTAGCTAAGCCTGGCGCCTCTAGGCTTCTCTCGGTGAATACTGAGAGCTTTCAGCTCTCCTAGAGAAGATGATTGGTGGCCAGCATGGAGCAGACCCTAGATAAGTTGCTTGTCAAACCTCACCTACCATCAGCAAATCATTTAACTTCGCTATGACTACTCTAGCTCTATTACTTAGGAATGCCTAAGGAAGTACCTGGCACCATAACCACCAGTAAAGCCCACTGTTGTGGTTATAGTGCTTGGATTATTGTATTATTTTTTTTTTCTTCATTTAATCAAGTCGAGCAGGAAAATCTGTATATACTAGACACCTCCCTAATTTAGTACCCATATAAAC